TACCGCGACATATAATTACACACGTATTCCCAACCAATTATTTCATATCGATCTTGACATATTCGACATGCTGTCAAGTTTGGGAAACAAATTTTGCCGTATTTTCCCCCTATACACCCTTCGCTTCCCCTCTTCACGCAATTCCCACATAAACATTGCCATTTAAATCATTTTGTAATTAAATTGTGTTCAATGAGAGCAATATTGAAACACGATTTTATATTGGATATGCTTTTGAATACTTCTAGAAATGTAGGACTTGAATATGAGGTTTTAGAATGGAATCAACAATGGGAACTGAAAAGGTTCTTCCATTTCAGTTTTTTAGTTTTAAAAATTTAATTCCAGATTTTAGATGCGTTACTAAAGTAGCTTCCGGAAATTACAGATGGTCTGCCCACATAAATTAACAGCGAAAAATTCAAAATGCAAAAATTTATTCTCTTTTTAATGACCATGTTGAGAGATAATAATAGTTCCCTTGGTTTCAAGAATAAGTTAAAATCAATAATCCACTCAGTTAATTTTCAATCGTTTTTATTGAATACAATTCACAGTGATTCCATAATTTCCACATAAGGTTGATTGAAAATTAACGGTTTGAGTAATTGCTTGCTTGGCACATAAAATGACCATGATTATCCAAAATAAAGCATTTATTCTAATTCTAGGTTCAAATATGTGAAATCCGCTTAAGGAGTTTGCAATGTTCAATAAGTTTTCATTCATGTTTGGGTGAGGGTTCTGCTAACAGGAATAAGTCGATTGGCACGTTTAAAAACGGAAATGCTCAACTTGGCGGGTGAAGTCAAAGATCTGGTGAAACCTTCTCGAAAATCGGTTTGATCGGATTCCAATTATCCCCGAAAAGGGCAGTTCGGTGAAGTAGACATCAGGCCTAATTGTCGCCGAAATTAACCCCATAACTCCGAATTTTTCAAAAATTAACTATAAATAGGGATTTCGGGAATTTCTGGAAAAATATATATATATTACTTTTTGTAAAGTATAGCAAAAATCATAATTGATTGTCCTCTTCACAATTTCAAGAATCATTCCATTTATCTTCCAAAAATCAGCAATTTGTAGCGAAATGAAGGCATTTTTAAACAACGCTGCTGCTTCAAGTTTCGTGTTAATTTAACTTAAAGGCTTAGTTTCCGTAGTTACTAAAAATTTACAAAATAACTCAAAATTGTCCCCCCCCCGTGGGGAAAGCTGAAGTCAACTAAGGGGCTAATGAAAAATATCAAAAAGCCTGCTATTTGAAATAATAACCTTACGCCATACATACGCTTCTTTAATGCCCAGAATTTCACTTATTTTAGTAACACATAAAAAATAAGTTTTTCTTTACTGCAATTGGATAATAAATAATCAATAAATCGAAGGAAAAAACCCAGATGAATTGATAAAAGAAATGGAAAGAAAATCACAATTTTTTAGTAATTTCATAAATCAACAACTCAAAATTTCGAATCAGTGATGTCTCACTTCTCCTCTTGCCGTTTGAAGTGTGTGAAGGCAAAATCAAAGCTGCTGTGGTGGCCCAATTGGCACATTGGCACTCCACAATGTTACCCTAGATTTATTGATTGACATCTAAAATTTATACCTGATTTCCATACTTCCGCCCGCTATTTACTACCCTATTTTCCTTGTAATAAAAAACACTTTTGGCACAATTAATCAGTTAAGCGTTTCTGGAGGCGAATTAAAGCAAGCAACTCAGTTGGGGTGGAGACGGGTGAGAGACCGAAAGCGACAGAAATCGGAATAATTTCTCCGACAATTCAAAATGAGAGAATTAGAAGATACTTTCAACCTTCATTTCACCACTTCAAGATCCATGAGAGTGAATATGTTCATTCAGTTTAGAGCTCATCGACACGTTGATTAAGTTCTACCCAAGGTCATACCAGCTAATTTCCACTTGTCATTGACAGCTAAGAACACAGTAAAGAGACTTTCTGTGAAGTAACGGACAAATCACTACTCAGTAATGATCCCACAAGGATCAATCTAATTAATGTTTACAAACTATACCAAAGAAAGAGAACGTTTTAAATATTCGTCAAACGCCAATAGCTCAAATTTGTTTATCATAGAAAAATTGAGTATTTTAAATATTGGCAGTACTTTTTCACACCAAAAAATACCAGTTATATTCCATGCAATGAAATATTCGAGCAAAACGATTCAATCGAATATCTCACGGCCTTCTTCAAGTTTTTTCGGCTTAAAAAAAACGTGGAACGCGTCCCTCTCCCTCCTCCTCTTCACTGACCAATTTCTGCTTACTTTTGCAGACGCAATTAATCGACTTGCTTAAATGGGCTGAAAGAAACGCAGCGTTTTTAAGAAAATAAATCGCGAACAAAAAAGTCTAATTTGAATTAATTTCGATGGAAATTTCGCAAGTTATGACTTTCCAACTCTCTCAGTTTTGGCTTTGCTTACAGAGGGCCTTCCAGTCTGGTACAAACCAGTCAACAGATGGATCATTTTGAGGGAGTTCTTACGAAGGATGAGTAGCTTTCAACACAGCTATTACGAAAGAAACTTTTTTTCTGGGAATGATGAGTGGGCTTTCTGTTGATGCTAAAAGGGGACATTTTAATTTAAAATTTAATTAAAAATTTTTACAGCTTTACTGAACTTTATTAACGTTAGGTCCTAAATTTTCTATTTTTTTAGCCATCCATTCGCAGTTGAACACTCAGTTTGAGCACGTTGAGAATAATACAAAGCCTTGCAGACTCCATTTGGGTGCAATCTTTGCTTTCTTTGTTATTATTTAATTCACGATAAGTGGAACAAATTAGCACGTAGGCCTTAAATCAGTGATCGATGAGACAGTTGATTTATTTATAACAAATTACAGGTGTTTTGATAGCTATCATTAATTCTTTAATCGACTTCGGGCTTCAGAGAGAGGAAGAAACATCAAAGTGAAAAAAAGAGCCGAGAAGGGGGGGGGGGAACAGGAGTGTGTTTCAAGGATGTAAAAGAGACAGACACAAAGGTAGAAAAAAGATGAGGTGAGTACTGTGGAAGTAGTCGAATATGACACGCAGTGGGTTCATGGTAGTCTGAAGTCAGAAATTAACTGCCGGTTTCATAGACTCTTTTGCCTTATGAGAATACATTGTCCGGGGTGCACCAGGTGGAGGTCCGTCTATCGCGCGCCCCGATCGATGAGACAAAGAAACCCCTACTGGTGCCCCTCTGATCTCATGCGAATCAGTGGCTGATGACAACCGTCATATTCTCAAATTTACAATTTACTGTTCATTTATGTATTTGTAACCAAAGCAGAGATTATTTGTACCCATCTTTGATTATGATAAGCTTGAAGCCAGAAATATATCTATTCTACATTTGATTATAAAGTACATTTAGATATTTACACTCACTCTGGCTTGTTGTAAATAAGTGGTATTTCAACATTGTCTATTTTTCAAAGGGAAAAAGTAAATAAAAAGATAATTAGACAGAACTCCAAATCCTATTCAATAAGTAGAAATATTAGTAAAAAATTCATTAATTTAAGCACCGTATGGAAATGCAAATTAAGTAATGATATTCAGTGCCTTGAATTTTGTTACAGGAGACCTTTAGAAGTTTTGAAATTGCAGTTGATAACTTTGAATGTCGCATTCCAGTTTGTGCTCAAGAAAATATTTCCACTGAACTCTTCCGAATTCTGTACTTATTATGGGGGAAGTTCACAACTGACCATCAAAGCAATAAGAAAGTGGTTACATTAGCACCTTGTTTCGGAATTGTAGAGAAAACAACTTTAGCATGCCAAAGGCAGGGGCTTATTGACCAATCAACGGTCAGAGCTAATACGTGGTTATCATACCAGAAAGTGTTTAGCAGAATTAAGCTCTGGGTCTCTGTATGGCCGTGCTGAAGAACGTCGTGTCAATTAAAAAGTACCGCGGCGAATACTCGCCGTGCTGCTTACGCCATCCCAAATGAACGCGTTCCACGTCAAACGCCAGTCTCCCCTTAAGCTTTGCAGTAGTCGGGAGTTTTCGAAACTAAAGATAACCAACCATAAAGATTTCGGAGCATAGTCAAGGTTTTTGGGGTAAAAATAAGCCACAGCATGAAAGTATTTTTTTTGATTTTAAAGAAATTAAATAAATAAACTCCTATGGAAGTCATAAAATTTGACTGTGTTAACATATCAAAGAAATTGAAGAGCAGGTAATTTGTTAAAATAAAACTAATAAATTATGGAAGAACCCGGCTTCCATTGTGAAAAATTTATAAATTCAAAATTCCATTTAAGAATTTGGCGATGGAAATGCGAAGAACAGAGTCGGTAGAATAGTAGTTTATGACGGATAGGAAAGTTCTGCGTCCTCCAAGAAAGTCTCAAATCACTATTTCCCGTGTACTCGAAAGAACTCCGAGCAATCCAAATTTAACTCCTACTTACACAGTTATTGACGATTGGATCTTGCACTCAAAACGAGGTATGTAATACCAACATTGAGCACAAAGTCGCTGCATTTATTGGTCACTCAAGCACTCAATCATCTATCTCCTAACCATTCCAATCTAATTTGAGTTTTTCTTCTTTAAAAAAAGGACATAGGTTCATTTTTTTTCATTGTATTAAGACGTGTGCGTCTAGTGTGGCTTAATTAAATTGCAAATTTGCTGTTATTTCGCAAAATTGTATGATATTTGTAATTTTTTTTCTATTTTTTTGGTTAGGGGGTGGGGGGGGGGGGGGGGGGAGTGTGCCTACGTCGGTAAAATTAAGAATAGAACCATGAGGAAAATAGATGAGAATACGCTGTAAGCCATCACACGCGATGAAACAACGAGATCTGTTTTAGGCTGTCAGCTAACAGGTTGAACAGTCTTAAAAAACAGTGCACTTAACTGTTAAGGGCAATTTAAACCTTAAAACCTACGTTTAAATTCCGCGCATTAGCCGAAAAATTTACTTAATGTTAGGCAAAGAGAAGAAGGCGCAGTTAGGGTGCGCAACTACTTTTTACGGGAAGCAATGGCAGCTCCTCTAGAGTGAAAGAGTAACGTGTTAAGGTCTTATCGGCGCAAAAAGTTGACCAGTGGAGGTGAAAGCAGGGCTTGTCTTTCATGAACAATCCTCTGCCACCAGGAGTATCTGACACCTTCAGGCTCACAGGTCTCCTGAATGCTGCACGAATGGTGACCTTAAGATTGCTTTCCCGAAGAAATGTGAAGAAGACACTCGGCGTATTCTTCATGCCAATCACAATGGCGACTTTCGACAAAAAGAGTCTTTACCAAGAAAGGTCTTTCCTACCAATTTGCCATACAACTTCTTTTTCGAGAGATTTGAGTCCAGTGCGTAATAAGACTAAGACTTACACGATATGAAACAAAAGATGTCGATGGAAGACACTGAATTGACAAATCTGTCACGAATATTGACTTTTTCTGTCCTTGATGGTGTAAAGATTACATTGACAGACATTGAATGACCATCGTAAATGTATGGAAATGTCTATGGAAAGGAAAAGACCACACTACACTACCGACGCAGCTACCGAGACAATTCCAAACCCAGATTTCCTGTCGATGTTATCATCCATTTTGGCATAAAATTTTCTGTGATGCTCTTTGCTCTCTTCCTCTCCCTCCCTCTCCAATGTAGCAGAACAAATTTCCTGTCATTTCCAAAAAAAACTATATAAATGTTACAATGCTTCATATGTTTAGGTCGCAAGCGGCAATTCGCCATTGGACTCTTAATGGGCTAGGTAAACTTCACATTCTCCCCAACATTCATACTATTATTATTTAAGGCAGACACAGACTCAAAATAGCCCTTTCATATGACGGGGGAGAGAGTGTTTTAGTGCGGAAATGTTCTCGTTTGGAGTCATAAAATTTCTCAGGCATTCAATTTTAGTTGACTCTCTTCTTCAATTCCTTTCTCAACGACCTACTCCTAGAAGGGGATTGTTGAAATTAAGCCCTCACTTGAATATGAGATTTCAAAATCGAAAAAAGATCATTTATTTTTCATAATTGGGGTGCGCGATAGACTTACATCCACGTGGTGCTCCCTGGGCAACGCATACTCATACGGCAAAAAAGCCTATTAACCGGCAGTTTACTTCTCACTTCAAACTATCACCGCCCCACTGTATGTCATATTCGATTACTTCCACAGTACACACCTCACCTTTTCCCTGCCTTTGTGTCTGTCTGCCTCTTTTACATCTGTGAATCGCTCTTCTGCTCCCCTTCCTCGACTTTATGCTACTTTGATGAACCTTCCTTCTGTGAAGCCCGAAGTCAGCTAAAGGGCTAATGATAGCTATCAAAACGCCTGCCATTTGATATAAATAAATAAATTTCTTTAAAAATCCTATGCACCCGTGGGAACGCGGATAATTAATGAGAGATTTTATTAATCAGACAATAATAAAATCCGTCTCGACTGTTTGAAGTCT